CATACTTTCCAATGATCTTTTCATTAATTGATGAGGATTACACATTCATCGCCACTCATATGTCACTGCGTTTCAATTGCAGTCGTGACCAAAGCCGCGGGATGTATCATCATTGACACATCCTCCTTTAATAGACATAACCTGCATCCTCCTTTCTATTTCCCGCGCTTCACATCCACAAATCATTCATTGGCCTTCTTCGTGCGTATATCCGGGTGGCCGTTCCGCCGCCTACGGCGGGCGGCCACCTTACCCTAGTTATTATGATTGCGATATTGACAACTACCGGGTAGTTGTCTGATAGTTGGATCAACTAGTTAGTTGGTTGTAGGTGTGAAATATTTCAATCAATCCCACATCCTCCCTAATGAATCGCTGGTTAGTTTGCTTGTCGTTATTTAGTGGTCTCTCTCTCTACCGTGTGCCTTTTTCTGTCTCTCATTTATTGTTATTTTCGGCCTGGTGGTGCCTTTTCTTTGTCCTCGCTCTTTTTACTTCATTTTCTCTTTCCTTTTATTTTCTTCTGTTTTTTCTTTTTTTTTCTCTCGCTTTCTGTGCCAGATGTCCTTGCTTGTTGTCTCTGCTTGCGTTGTGAAGTACCAAGATTGAACCAAGGGGGTGTACCTCATTCTCTCCGCTCCGTGATGGTGACTCCTAGTCTCAGTTGCTACCTCGCATAGCGCGCAGAGGGAGTGGAGGACTCCAGAATATCTGTCGTTGATTTCTATTATTGACTTCCGGACCCCTCGGGGCCATTTTATTTGAGTGTACCTTTTTAGGGTAAGTTAGCCTGCGACCACGGGAATCGACCGCGTCGAGTGTTGGATCAGTACGGACATACGAAGGTACTGGGTTGAGAGAGATCGGAACGGTTTTTAATGTGAAGACAACAACAACGACAACAACAACAACATCTATCTGATCTCCCCTTCGACTCCTGCTACTGACTTCTTCTCACATTCTTTAGCAGTTAGCAGTATTACAGTAGTAGTAGTAGTGGTAGTAGACTAGTCTTTAACATAGTTTTTTCTCTGTGAAGAGTGGGACAGGGCGGGGAGGGTGACGCTTGCTGCTGCTGCTGTATATAAATAGTCGAAGAGTGCGGACGTAGCCCTTCTTGTACCTGTGCGTGCATGTATGTATGTATGTATGTATGTTTGTATGTGTTCTTGTTGTGACCGGACAACAGACAGTTGCAAATTGATTGCTAGATTTTGGGATCATCAGCAACTGACAAGTCTGTACATGTATGTGTAGACTACTACAGTACAACATATATTATATCTATGTAGAAGACAACAACAACAACAACAACCTGCCAGAGAGTATGCGCAGCATGTTGTAGTCTCTATGTATTTTCGTATTTCCCTAAAATACAACGAAGGTACAACAAGTAACTTCAAGTAGAAACTGCGCGGCGGGTGACTGCTGTGCAAAGACCACGAAACATGTCACACGAAAAATATCAGGCAGAGTTCTGCCCCCTTGCGGCGTAGTTTTGGCCTCCTCATGTACTGCGTAGGTTGAAAGCCCTCGCCGCACGAAAATAAATGTAAAAGAGCCACCGCGTGTCCCCCCCCCCGTCCAACCCCGTTGCTTGGGGCGCACGATATTATTGACTGTAAATGTTTGTGTGCGTGTGTATACTACTGTTGGTAATTTTGACTATCCATTAGACTAGCCTAACGCCCCCCCCCCCCCCCC